CCGGGGAAGTCCAGCCTAAATACAAGGAAAGAGTTCAATACCCAGCAACAAATAGCCACTCAAGGAAAAAACATATCAAAGGTGCCTTGAAACGGTCTGGGAATGGTCAGCCCCTGAAAGAACAGCAGGACAGCTCACAACAGACACCTGGGCGTGTCTGGGGATGACCAAGACAGATAAAATAGAGGACAGGGGTGAAGAGGGCTCCCAAGGTTGGGGTGACTTGAGGGAGGGGATGGGGGCAAGAGATTTGGAGGGCAGGAAAGCAAAGGAATTATAATCAAGCAAAACATGAGCCCAAAAAGCTACTGATTAGGTGATTCCATGAGAAGTGGGAGTTTTGAGACAATAAGAACTGGTGAGAGTGTCAGAGAAAGAAAAAGGACAGACTGAGGGAAATCACTGCTGCAAGGAGAGGAGCCTCACCCTTCCTGTGCCCTCATCCTTCCTTTGGGGGCAAATGCCTCTGTGACTGACTCATGCAGGATTGGCCTTGCTAAACTGACCTTTGGAGATTCGATAGAGTTAGTTTTAATCATGCATGCACTAGTTCCAAGAGTAATCTTAACTTCAGATAAAATCAAAACTTTTATGGGCTGCTAATCCTATTTGAGTAACCAGCTGCCAGGGCTCACCACTCTTTGAACCTTGTCAGTCATCCAGTCAGTGTCCATCAGCATCGCTCAGTCATTATCAGTATCAGCTGATGTCAATGACTTTCTGTCAGTCATTATCAGTCAGGCGGGCAGTCAATCACTGTCAGCCAGTCGATGTCAGTCAAACATCAGGTCAGTCATTCAGGGAGTCAGTGTCAGTCACTCAGTGCCAGCGTGTCTCAGTCAATCATTATCACTCAGTCAGTCATCAGTATCATCTTGGTATTGCTAGTGTCCAAGTACAGGGGCAGGAAGGACACTGAGCAGGTTTTCTAGGATCCAGCAGACCAGGTAAAGGAGAAGTCAGAGTCCTCAGTGGTTTTTGCAGGCTTTTTATTGGGATTTACCTGGTACATAGCAGGCAAGGATGCTGGGGGGCCAGGAGGCTGGCAGGCCTTCCAGCCCCCAGCAGGTCTTCACTCTTTCTGGGCTCTTCGGCCTTCTCTCTGCTTCTCTCTGCTCTTCTCATGGCTCTGCTTCTCTCTTGGCTTCTGCTGGTGTCCCCGTGACACCGCCCTTAAAAGCCCAGTCTCAGCCCAGGTAAATCCCATCTACCTATGCCCACACCCTATTCCAGGTGCCCGCCATCAGGCATGCACTCAGGACCACAAGGATCCATCATCTATCCTGATGGCGGGAGGGCACAAAAGCCTGACATTTTTCCTTACCCTACACCAAGTGAGGAGAAACCAGGGGTACATGCTGTTAAGGGGTACATGCTGTAAAAGGTATTCTGCCATTAACATGCACAAAGGCAAAGAAAGCAGACTCTTAGTGTGAAAGATCTTTAATAGAATTGTTATACATAGAGAAGAAAGTTTCCCAATATAACTCCCAAAATTACCCATCCCCTCATGGGCAAATGCCCAGTCAGAGAAGCTTAACCCCAAGAGGGGCTGCTGAAGCCCAACAGTTTGCCACAAGTCTAAAGCATCTTGTGCAAGGAAGCACAAGAAAGCACAAGAGAGCTAGGACAGGAGATTCAAAACTCAATGGCACCCATTGTCTTGACTTCTTGTTGCATTTTATGGTATATTTTGAGTTTTGAATCTCCTGTCCTAGCTCTCTTGTGCTTTCTTGTGCTTCCTTGCACAAGATGCTTTAGACTTGTGGCAAACAATTCTTTCCAAGGTGGATATATAGAGGGAGGTGGGATGAGGGGAAAAGATACTTGGAGGAGACGTGGAAGAGAGACATGGAGAGATATTTGGAAAATATGTGTGGGTGAAAGACATGTAAGGGGGTGCTCCTTCTCAGCTGTTCCCCATTCAAAGTCCAGTTCATGCATACTGGGATTTAGAGTGGCTGCATATAAGTGGAAGTGGAGGGAATGGGGCTTCCCCTTTCACAGACAACGTCTGTGACAATGTCTGTCACACAGTCAGCTAGCCAGTGTCAAACTTGACGAAGCAATCAATCATTGTGTCAACCGGACAGTGTCAGTCAGTCATCATGTCAGTCAGCCAGCCAGTTAGTGTCAGTCAGTGTCCAACAGTCAGTCAGCGAGGCTCTGACTGCTTCCACTCAATGGCTTATCACAAACACACTCTGGGTGTGGAGAACATTCTCTTGCTTGCCTCTCGTGATCCAGTGAGGAACAGGTGGTTTAATGGGGCAGTTACACAAAGGTGGCATTTAGAAGGACACCATGCTTGGTTGAATACTCGGTTGTCACTGTCTTGAAATTCCTGATCATTTTTTAAAAATTCTTGATCACTTGATCGCAGGGACCCCACCAGTTATGTAGCTGGCCCTGGCTCCATGCATTCCCTCATGGCAGGATTGGTGGTTCCAATTCTTTCCAGTTTCCAGAGCGCCCTCCCCTATCACCCATGCCTTTCTGCTCTTCCTCGTCCCCTCCCCTGTGCTCTTCTCCCCCAAAGGGGACTTTTCTCTCAGGGTCAGGGAGCTGTCCCCATGCCAGCTAGCAACTGACACATTGCTCCCCAACTAAATTCTATGTAAACTCCTGAGAACTGGGGTTCAACTTATATGGAACAGACCAACTTGACCGTTTCTCTTGCTTCTACCTCTCACCCCCTGATGTGCTATGATTCTGCCTCCATCCACCATCCAGAGGCCTCTGGGAAAGTTGCCTGGGGCAAACAAGGGGAGATCACTGAGCTCCTGAGATCTGAGCAACCAAGGACTCTGCTGCAGGTTTACACAAGAAGAGCTTTGATGGGATTTTAAAAGTCTAGCAAACAAGCAAGCAGGCTGTGTTCCTGGGAACGGCCTGCTGGAACACCCAGCAGGGCATGTCCTGGCCTGGGGCCTCACCACCACCCCCGAAGGTGAAATAACCCTGAATCAAGCAGCCACCACCTCCGTCTTCACACCCACAACACCTACACAAAACCCAACCTGGGGGAAATGACACAGAAGCAAGTATGCACACTCTGGGCCTGCAGAGCGCAGATGTGGTTTATTTGGGGAGCCCAGTGACAGTTCTGCCACTAGGAACATTTCATTCTGTCCCACACATAGTCTGTGTCACAAAGACATACCAAGACTTTGGAAGAGGTTCCAAAGGGGGTTACACTCGAAATGTGGTGCTTCTTTGCTTGTTATTGTGCTTCTGTTAATCACAGAGAACTAAATGAAATAGCTTTACAGCTTACTAAAACCCAACTGGTCTTCAAAGGAAGCAGTTTAAACATTTCCAACTGTAAATCAATGCAACAAGTCCACGTCAGGAGACAGACCAAACAGACAAAAGCAGCTCTAACGTAAAGCTTGTCTGTCAAAAGAAAACAACAAAAACAGGCAGGAAAGCCAATTAATCTAGAAGGAGTAGGTCCACTTCGGGACTGAGGTCCCATAATAATAGATACAATTGCGGGTGTGGTGTCCTCTTTTGGAAAAAGCGGAGTGGAACAGATCTGGCTGAAGCCAAGGACGCACGATGCCATTGAGTCTCCAGTGGGGTTAAGAGCACCGGGGTACATGCTCCGGGGATGGATCCCGGGCTGTGCCAACAGTGCGCTCAGAAGAGCCTGCCAGTCCAAGGAGCCTCCCCGGGGGCAAAATCACGTGAGCAAGGTTGGAGTCATTCCTCCCCGAGGCAGGTCCCCCCCTGAACAAACCAGCCAAGACCTACAAGCTGGACCCCTGACCAAGCGTGAAGGGGGGAGTGACGTCTTGAGAGGCCGGGCCCTGAGGATGCAGGGTCCATCTGGCAGCACCGTGTCATTTCTTGTCCATTGCAAATGTTGCGCCCTTTTCCCCCAAAGCTCAGAGCAGTAGCTGGCCCAAAGAAACAGCAGTGGTGGGAGGTGGCAATAAACCTCTGTGGCTGAGGTCCAGCCCAGCTTCCCACTGGTGCACTCAGGAATTTCTGAGCAAAAGTTTCAACTCACTAGCTGTGAGGTGTGGCTTAGATGGCTCAATCAGTGCTGGAACTACCATGGTAGATGGCTGGAAAAAAAAGGGACACTTAGCCCTGAGGGGGGTGTGTATGTGTGCGTGTATGTGTGTGTGTATGTGTGTGTATGTGTGTGTGCGTGCGTGCGTGCGTGCTTTGATACATATGGTGTGCATGTGTGATGTGATATCTGTGTGGTGTGTGTAGTGTGATATTTATGTGGGGGGGTGTGGTGCAGTGTTTGTGTGTGGTGTGTGTAAGGCCTGGGAAGGAGTCCCTCAGGACTCCCTGTCATGCTTCCACAGACCAGCACAAACACACAATTTCAAGGTGACCGGTCCCACACTTCAAGGCTAGAGGCCCTCTCACAAGCTCAGAAGCAGCACCTAGAATCCTCCATATGCCAAAACCTCCACCAACAACTGACTGCATGTTTCAAATGTGATTTGATGCAATGAAATTCAAGACCATTTACCGGGATTTTTCAATGAACTGCACTGTTTATAAGGCTTCCAGGGGTGTGAGAGCACACACAGGTGGAGCTCTCAAGAGTCTCCTGCTTAGCCTGACTCAGCTGTGTCTGAGCTTTCCTATTCCACTGTTCCTGGCTTGACCCACAGTATTATCTGTGACCCGCGTGGGAAGACCAATTGCAGCTTGACCAAAAAAGCCATGGAGAGTTCCAGGCACGCCCTTGGAGCCATGGTGGGCCTTGTCTCCCAAGCATGAGAAATCACTTCCTCCAGAGGCAGCCAGTCTCCTGCCCGAGGTGGACCTCCAGCCACAGGCCCTGCCTCCTCAGTGAGGTCAGCGAGGGACACCAAGGGCGCTGTCCCAGCGGAGGAAACTGGCTCCCCTGGCCACCTCTTGAGGAAAGGGGCCTCACCAGGCGGGCAGATCCGGGCGCAGGCTGGCAGCCTGCCCGGCCACGGGTCGTAAGGCAAGACAGGGACTTCACCGGCGGTGGCTGGACTCACTCCTTAGGGCTCTCCCACGGGCGCGCCAGGCCTTTGGCATCTCCGCAGCAGGACGGGCCTGGAGACCTCGCAGAGCAGAACGCAGGGCCCGGGGTCAGGACGCCGTCGGCCTGGTGGGGCGCGAAGAGGCTGCGGCGCGCGGCGTGGGGCGGTGCCCGCGCGCCCCCCTCCTGGGCCTCGACGGTCGACGGGCCCCTTAAGGCTCGGTGGGCCCAGCCGGAGTCCGCCCAGGCGGCGGGGCGCGGCGGGAACCCCCCTGGCCCCTCTGCGGGCGCCCAGGGATGGTCGGGCTGCCGGGCCTGGGGGCGCAGGTCGTCCTGCGCGTCCCCCGGGCGGTACCCGCCCTGCAGGCCCGACCCGGAGGCCGGGGACGGCGGGGCCGCGGGCGCCGCCCAGTCGGGACGGAGCGGCCCCGGCGCGAGGCGGCAGCCGGCACCCGAGGGGGGCGCCGCGAGGAGCCCCGGGTGGTCGCCGAACTGCAGCCGCGAGAAGCGACCTTCCAGGGCCGCCACGGCCGCCGCGCCCCGGGCCGGGGGCAGGCTGGGCGCGCCGGGCTCGCGCGGGCCGGGCCAGGCGGCGGCGGGGGAGCACCCCGGCTCCCGCCCCGCGGGGTCCCGCCCGGCCCTGGGCCGCCCCGGCTCGCCGCCCGCGCCCCGCCAGGCCCGCGTCTGCGCGCGGAGCTCGTCTGCCACGGCCAGCTGCGTCTGGCGCGGCCTCTCGGGGTGGTAGAACTTGCACTTGATGCCGTAGGTGCACTTCTTGCCTGGAGGGAGCAAGGGGGAGAGGGCATGAGCGCTCAGACCTCGGGCCTCGGGGAGGCTGGGGCGCCATCTGGCCAATGGCCGTCCTGCGCTTGCTGCCTTGCTTCTTGGGGAGTCCGAGGAGGCCCCCAGGTCCTACGCAGACCTACCAGGATTGGAGCAGGAGGAAGTGGGGAGCCCTGCCCTGGGGCAAGGTGGACTTAGCTGCAGCACCCCCTTCCTGCTGCACCCCCTTCCTGTGGTGTGGGGTGCTGACATGGTAACCCCAGTGTTACCACACCCAGCACAGGGTGGGTGTAGTCGGGGAGCTCCCTTTGACCAGGAACTGAGACCAGATCTCTGGATCCAGTGGCCTTCAGCTCGCTTCCCCAAGGACCCTCTGCTTCAGGCCAAGATCGGAGGTGGGGAGTGGGTGCTCATGGCACAGGTTGCGGCTCCAGGGCTGCCTCAATTTCCATTCTTGTCCATATCCCTGGACGACCTATTGCCCCCTCCTTACAGACTATTCAGCAGGTTATCAAATGTGTATCCTCCAAAGCTGATACTCCTGAGAAGTGAAAGAGTAAGATGGGCCCAGCTGGATGTGACTGACTTAGAATACCACCTGAGCTTTCATGGCACTTCTAGACACATAAATATCAAGAACAGGGGATATTAAATGACTTGCTGAAGTAAGTTGTGAAAAAGCAGTTTAGACGGTTGGCATCCCTGAGGGCTCTAGGATAGAATCCTGAACTGTTTGTGACAGAAAGACAGCACTGACCCAAGCCCATAGTGGGGTGTGTGTGTGTGTGTGTGTGTGTTTGTGTGTGTGTGCACAGGATGCAGACATAGGTGCCAGGATGCCAGCTGAAGGGACTGAGAAAAGGGAGGTTGGGGGTACCCACAGGTATAACAGAGGCTAATTGGCTAAACAGGTCTCAGATCCTAAGGACACAAAAGAAGAAAAAACTTACCTAAACTTTTCTCTGAGACTTGCTTTTACGGAGATGCTTATCAAGTAACCCTGAGCTGGGCCTCCAGCCCCTTTGAAATTGGGAATCTACAAATGCAGAGGAGGGGGCCTACCCAGAGGCAGGGGCTCACCAACAGAAATTCAAATCCCCAGTTAGGTGAAAAAAGCCTCTCCGTCCTTCCCTGTGCATGACGGCCTGTATCTGGCCAATGAACTTCAATCGGACGCATGATTCTTTGCTCCCACACCACTTTACAGTCAATAAAATGTAATTCCTTTGTTCTTAACCCTAGTCCTCAAAACCTAGAGAACCTCATTCCCTTTCTTAATTGGGAGGGAAGACTTGAATCTTCTACCTCTTGCCAATCAATCTGCAATAAAGTTGATTTCTCGTCTCAAAAACCCTGTTGTGCCGTTGTGACCTGATCTAAGCGCCTCAGGTAGCAAACCCCTCTGCTTGGGAAGATGCCCCTCTGCTTCCCAGACAGCTTTATAGTGCGTGTGGACCCTCACACATCTTGCCACGCAACAGGTGTTCGGGCCATCAGTTCATCCTTAGAACTCTGCCGGGAGACACTGCCCAGAGAGGTTGCTTCCTATCCAGGATCACACGGCTGGTTAGGGCCAGTGCCTGGGCCAGAACCCACGTAGCTGACTGCCAGCCCAGAGCTTCTGCCTGTGACTTGCATTGTGACTGCCAGGCCCAGACACAAGGCCCTGAGCAGGGACCACAGCCAGGGGCTACCCACCGTAGGGGCAGTGCTGCCAGGACGGCTCAGGGGGCTTGGGTTTCTTGCTCAGAAAGTTGCTCAGGGTGGGTCCCCGGCGGCCCAGGGGGTCATCAGGAGGCATGAACCTGGAAAACAGGCAGAGGGAGGCGACGTCAAGACCCACAAGGACTTCCCACGTGAAGACCAACAAGGGCACCTATATGGAGAGCAGAGCTGAGTCACCCCAAAAAGGAAGGGTAGCAGTAGGCACAGGCTCCTCCTGGGATCCCCATCCTCGGCTCCTATCACCAAGGTGTTGTCAGCACATTTGAAAGCTATGCAACCCTTTCTTCTCACAAACCCATGCGGCGCCCAGTGCAGAGCCTGGCAGGCAGCCCATGGGCCTCCCCCAAGTGCTTCCCCTGTGCTGTTCAGGCCAGCAGTGCCCGAAACACAGCAGATCCTCCAATCCAAAAATGGGCAGAAGAGCTAAAAAGAAACTTCTCCAAAGAGGAAATGCAAATGGCCAACAGGCATATGAAAAAATGTTCAACATCACTTGTCATCAGGGAAATGCAAATCAAAACTACCATGAGATACCATCTTACACCAGTGAGAATGGCACATATTAAAAAAACTAGCAACACCAAATGTTGGCGAAGTTGTGGAGAAAAAGGAACTCTCCTGCACTGTTGGTGGGAGTGCAAACTGGTCCAACCACTATGGAGAGCTGTGTGGAGATTTCTGGACCTACTAAATATAGAGCTTCCATATGATCCAGCAGTTCCACTCCTAGGTATTTACCCAAAGGACACAGAAACATCAATTCCAAAGAGCACCTGCACCCTATGTTTATAGCAGCACTGTTTACAATAGCTAAGCTTTGGAAACAACCCAAATGCCCCAAAATAGATGACTGGATCAAGAAGATGTGGTACATATACACCATGGAATATTACTCAGCAATCAAAAAGATAAACTCATGCAGTTTGCAGTGACATGGATGGAGCTGGAAGGGATCATGCTCAGGAAACAAGTCAGAAAGAAAAAGAAAAATACCGGATGGTCTCACTCATAGCAGGAATTTAGAAAACCTAAATAAGGGACCAAGGAAAAGACTAATTATAATAAAGAAAAAATCAAAATCAACAAGCAGCTATAAACCAGAGACACACTATGGGGGGGGTGAAGAGGGATTAGGGTCAAAAAAAGGGGAGGTGGGAATTGTATAGGGAATATAACCAAAATGAAAATGCATACATTCTGCAAAAATGAAAAATGATGTAAGAATTATATTAAATAAATAAATAAATAAAAACCCCGGGCTCCGGGCTTCACACGAAGCCGGCAAATCAGGACTTCCAATTGTTCAGGAATTTGAATTCAAAAAACCTCCCGACTTTCGCCCCAGTAGAGAAGCACAATTGCTCCAGGGTTCCCTGGGCCCACGTAAGCTGCCTTCCCGGTGTCTCAACACAAGGTCAGAGGCTTTGGGGGCTACACACAGATCTGTGAGGCTTCAGTCCCGTTTTTCTGTGTGTTGCCCCCAAGCACCGGGTGTAGAGAGGTGAGGGATAAATATTGCACAGAGTTTGAGACACCAGGTGGAGTCAGTGATGAAGTGGATCCCACACACACAGGCTCCACCCCTCCTCTACAAATTGGGGGGCTCTAGGCTCATCACAGCGTCTGGGGTGGCCTGACAACAACAACAACAACACGTGTTCTCCGACACCACCCAGCCCCTGGCTGCCCCTGGTGTTAGGATGGAATGCCTCCTGGGTGCCCACAGGCCAAAGGGAAAGCCACATTCCTGAGAAGGAAGGCACCCCTTGTTGAACATGAGCCTTATTTTTATCTGAATACTTTTGCTCCCAGGAGACACTTACAAATGCCCCACTCACAGGGTGGTGGGTTCTAATGGGGTCCGATGTTATGGGGTGCTGTCCCCTGAGAGTGACAGGGTCACACAGAGACCCACCCTGCTGACCACCTCCGTCCAGCCGGCCTGCCCAGAGCTGGACTAGCCCAGCAGGCGCATAGCTCAGCTACCAGGACACAGTTGGCTTCTCAGAGTCAGGCCTTGACCAAGAGTCCAGGGAGCTGCCCACTGCGCTTTTATCAGTTCCCAGAGGCTTTGCCTCCTGCTCTCTGCTGGTCATGGCCACTGTGAGCTGGGCCAAGGCATCCTGTGGATATGCCCCAGGTTGGGAGCGGGCATTCCAGCCCACAGGCAAGCAGGCAGTGGGGCAGGCTCTGCCTCTGACAAGCAGAGGACCGCCTGGCAGCCCCTTTGCAAGGTCCCAGTGCATCCTAAGACACAGGCCCAGGCCCCAAGCTTTTATCATGTGAGAGGAAGCCATGACCCATCAGACTTGAGAGGATTGTCTGGAACCTACAGTTAGCAGATGGGCCAAATTCCTCTGGGGTCTGAGCCAGACAGAGGGTGCCACAGGCCTTGTACATGTGGAGATGCCCAGGGAGGCTGCTGTAAGCATCTGCCCTAGGGCTTCAGAGGGAGCCTCCACTTCTTCGGTGCAGGCCAGGCGGGAACAGGCAGCACCATGTCCTGGATTGACCTGAGAATACAGGCTACAACTCTCTCCAGCCCTCACACCCATCTCAGTTAGTGTGATTCCTCCAAGTACAGCTAATTCAGGGTGAAGGATGTTCAGCTCAGCAAAGGAGCATGATTTCCCCACAACACACAGCCAGGAAAGGGGACAGCCTAGGTCTGAAACCTCACATGTTGCTACCAAAACCCCCCCAGTCCTTCCTACCGCCCGGCAAGCTTCGGGTCAGAGCTGGCTGGTGACAAGCAAATGGCCTGGCCCAGCCACCACAGCCTCTCTCACCCCTCCTCCCGCCCCAGGCCGCGCCCCTCCACACTCATTCTCTTGTCCCCCACGGGTGCCCGGAGGTGCCTGTGCCTTGGGACACGTGGCAGAGGAGACACACACAGTCCCAGCCCTCCCAGGGGCAGCAGCTGGTCTCAAGCCACAGGGCTGAGCGCCCGTCAGAGCCCAGAAAGGCCCGAGCTGCCCGAGGCTAGAACAGAGCTGAAGGGAGCGCTCGTGTGCCCTTGTCTCTTCCCGCTGGGTCTCCAGCTTTCCCCGACAGGGCCAGCTCCACGCCGCCTGCCTACCTGGGCCCCCAGCCTGGCCCCTGCGTAACTGAAGGCTTCCTCCCACCCAAGCTCGCCCTAGGACCCCCTCACCCAGCCCCTGCGGAGCAGATCGGCCTTGCAGCCCCGGCATCCTCTCCCGGCCGTTGCTGGTGGGCCCAGGGTGGACCCGACCCAAGGGAGCCCACAGCGAACAGAGAACCAGCCAGATTGTCCGGTGTTGAGACTGAGTCCTCTCCGGGCGGGGAAGGCTCTTCCAGCCCCAGGGAAAGAGGATGTTGCCCACCCCCATCTGTAATTCCAGAACTTAAAAGAAAAAATAAAATAAAATCAGGACGGGAAGTGCCACAAAGTTCAGATTTTCCCCCTGGTGACTGTTGCGCTGCCCCTGTTTGATACAGTCAAGTCTTTAAACCCAAGAAGTCTCTGCTGCCCAGGCCCTGCTTGGCCCACCTGCGGGCGGCCAGGTGCCGGCTCAGCGGGCCGAGCGCGGGAGCAGCAAGGTCAGGGGCAGCCGGCGCCGGACAACCATGATGGGAAAGATGGGGACCCCAGAGGGACAGGAAGAAACGGGTCGCGGGGAGAGGAGAGTGACCGGGGGGCTGTCTCCAGGAGTGTGTGTCCTTTGCTTCCTCCCCGCTGCAGCCAGGCCGGCCGGGAGGCTCCCTGCGGGTCGTCCCCCCCCCCCGCCCCCCCCCCCCCCCCCCCCCCCCCGCCCGTGTCTGGGCCCCCTGGGCCGCCACATACCGGTCGTTGACAAAGGAGAACATGAGCAGCCGCTGCTCGATGAACCACTTCCACTCGGGGTTCTCGCTCTGCAGGTCCCGGTAGTTGTCGTTGGAGACGATGACGCCGTCCTGCGCGATGGCCACCTTCACGATGTAGCGGTCGTCGTAGCAGACCACCCGCCGGCCGCTCACCTTGCGGGACGGCGTGTAGACCAGCACGGCCTGCCGCTCCAGCTCCTCCAGCACGTGCTGCTCTGCGGGCACCGGCCGAGCGGCATGAAGTGCTGTCTGCAAGGACCCCCCACCCCCAAGCACCTCCTGACAGCACTTGGCCAGGAGCCTCCACCCGGCCCCCACCTAGAGCCCAGCGCCTCAGGGAGAAGCAGAGTCTCAGGAAGATTTGACCAACAGTCTGAGGTGGACAAGGCCAGGGCTTCTGCCCTGGCTGTGTCCTGTCCTAGCGAGTAGGACCGTCAAGAAGGAAAGACACTGTCATCTAACTAGACTCCGGGGGCTCCTTAGGAGCCTGACATCCACCCCCAAGGCTCCTGCAGGGGCCCTCAGCTGACAGCTGCTGGTCCCTCTGCCGCCCAAGGCAGGAATCTGCTTGGGACACCCTCACGGTGACGCTCTAGTTAAACGACAATGTCTTCCTTCAGAAGGCCTCTTGGTCTCCCATGGGGTGCGCAGTGGCACACAACCACAGGGAGGACAATTACGGCAGCTTCACTGTCCCTTCCGGTGACTCTGCAGGGACACGAGAATGTCTCCAAGAGAGTCTGGGACACAGAATCTACAGCCTGGGTTCTGGACTCAGCTCCAGCCCTTTGAACATGAGGCTTTGTGTTTGTCTTTTGTTTTTTTAATAATTATTTTAATTTGGGGGTTATTATTTTATTCTTCCATATGTGCACATGTTCTATTCACCCTCCACCAACCACCAGTGCCCATACCCATCTGCCTCCTCCCCAGCCCCTCCCTCCCCCGCAACTTTCAGAGGTGGTTTTGTTTTGTTTTGTTTTTTAAAGATTTATTTATCTATGCATACAAGAGCTGAGGTACAGGCCAGAGATGTGGGGGGTGAGAGGATTCACCAGAGACAGAGTGGGGAACAGAACAGGCAGACTGACTGAAATACACTGCTGAGGGGAGCAGTGGGCTAGTCAGGAGAGGTCTGCTGCGTCATGTGGGTTTCTCCCTGGCTGGCCCGGCATCAAATTCATGCTGCAGAGGCTGTGGATTGCTTCATAGTGTGGTGCTTAACCCCTTGTGCCACCAGGGAGGCCCACCCTTCAGCGGTTTTGCATTGGTAGAGGTTAGTAACGCCTCCCTCAATTCGCTCACAGAGTTGGTGAGTAGACTAAGTATGTTTGTGTATGTGTGTGTGAGAGAGAAAGAGAAAGACAAACAGACAGAGAGAAACAGACTGTCTACTGCTGTTGGATCTGTATGTAAGTCTGTATGCGGGTATGGTATGGCTTCCTCTCGGGCATGTCTGGCAGTTGTAGGGAAGGACACCTTACAAGATAATGACAAAGTGATTATATCTGGTTACCATCCAACAAAGCATTGAAGACAACCTTGCCAACACTTGGCATTTTCAGGCTTTTTGAATTCTGGTCAATCAGCAGGTGTGAAGTGGCCTCTTGTGGTTTTATTGTGCATTTGCCTGGTTGCCAAAGAGATGGAACATCTATTTACAAGTGTGTTGGTGGGAGGTGGGTAGAAGTCAGGATGTCTAAGTGAAGGGCTCCTCCTGGGGCAGTTGCATCCACTCTATTCTCACTCCTGGCTCTATAGAAAGTGACGTTAGAATTAAGAAGCAGGAGGTTCTCATGTGGCTGTGGATTTTCAGAGAAAAACCATCTTAGTGTATGTGACCTGCGGAGGTGCCTGGCTGCCTGCTCCCTGCAGGGGGTGCTAGAGTGAATGTGCTAGGTCTTGCCAATCTGTTTTTTTATTCATAAATATGATCTGATTTTTTAAGGAGACAGAGAGAAAGAAAGAGAAACAGACAGAAAGACAGTCAGAGAGAGCGCATGCTATGAAGACTCCAGAAAAGTATGATTTGTGGAACTTAAGAAAATATTTTAAAAGTCTATATTGGTATATAAATCATCAAGAAGACAAGAATAACATTTTATTTTAAAGAGAGAAACAAGTAAAAATAGAGACAAACAAAAAGAAGAAACAATTAGTAAACACTGACAGATTTAAAAATAAAGTCAAAAATGTGTAGTGGGGGAAAAAAAAACAAGAAAAAGTCAAAGAAATCTTCCAGGATTATCAAGAGATCAGCTTGCCCTCCCTGATGTGGCTGGAACAATGCCAACAATGGCTTGGCATCTGATTTCTTGTTATAATAAAAACAAAAAACAACCCAAATCCTGTTTATTAAACCACAGTGTTCTGTTGTTTGTAGTTTAAAACATTCTTAGAATTCCATGGGTCTCGCTTTCCTTTTTGTGTGTGTTTTTAATGAAGACATTGGCTGAGGTATTCATATCAAATAAATGCCACTGGACCAAATGAATGTCCTTTTCAGAGTCTGCATTCTATCGGGGAGGGATGCAGATCCAGTCTCCTTGCAGAGTGTTAAAAGTCGTGATATGCAATTATTTTTGGAACTTAATCATTCACACTAAAAGATGGAATAATTTTTTCACTTAACAACCACTTGTTGAGCACCTATTATGTGCCAGGCACTGTGTTAGGTGCAAGGGCTATGAAGCAAGCTTTCCTAGTCAGTGCTTCATGGAGCTTTTATTCTTGTAAGAAAGACAAACATCATCAAAGAAATAACTAAATAGATAAACAACTGTGATTTGTGAAGTGTACCACCTCATCACTGAAGGGGTGTCCTAGCTCTTGAACATATCTGCTCCAACCTACCTCTAATAGGAGTGTCAGATCTTGGTGGTTCTTTCCTCCAGGATGGGACAAAAACTTTGATGTAGGTGTGTCCTCTGTCCCTGAACCAGTCCACAGCCAGCTGGATTCCCCGGCAAGAGAAGGCTTCTTTATTTCCATGGCTACAAAGGAAAAACAAAGAAGTCTGCGGAGACACAGGAAGCCTTCCTAGGATAATGAGCTCCCCTGACAATAACCTAAATCAGACTCATAATCAAGAGAGAATCAGGCAAATCTGAATTTTGAAAATTCTTTGCACAAACTATGTGCCGTAACCAGAACCACAAACTTATGAGAAACATGTAGAGCCTCCCAGGCCCCAGGCAGTGTGCTTTCCCAGGATTAAGAGATGATGTCCTCACATTAACTGAAGCTAATGAGGATCAGCACAACAGGGGTGAGACTAGTCAGGTGCAGAATACTTTTACCCCACAAGAAGGTTGTAAATGTGTCACTGGACTTCCCAAGTCCAAGCTAGGAAACCAATGTGCGCCACAAACACCACCCAAGACATCCATGGGGGCAGGAAGGAGAGTGGTGTGAGAGGAGGCTCAAGACCAGCAAGTGCCTTATGAGCCTTAACGGAGAATTTTTTCTTTCTCCTATGAGGAATGAGATGCCAATAGAGAGATTATAAGATCGGGGCATATGTGATTTAATGTGACATGTGAGCTGATGTATGTTTGAAAGAGCTCAATCTGGCAACACAGGGAATAATAAATTGGATAGGACCAGAGTGAGTGGAAGGTACCAGGGAGGCAGCAGTTGTCATCAAGGTCAGAATGGACAATGACTGGGGCCGATTATGTGGTGTCTAAAGAGCAGACAAGGTAAACACAAGAGGTATTTAGAAGATGAAATCTTCAGGACATGGAGATTGATTAGACATAGAGGTCCTTCTGTTAGGGGGAAAGGATGTCCTGAGATAATCTCATACAGGCTTTGTGGACCCCACCCCCACTCCAGACTAAAGCCATCAGGACATTGGGAAAGACAAATCCCATCACCACCAAGGGGAGGGTGGCTGGGACCTGAGGGTGGAGTTGGGCAGCCAGGTTGGATATAAAAACCAAACACGTGGGCCTTGCTCCCTCTCTGGCTCGCGATCGCTCGCCTCCTGGCTTCACCGCTCTTGGCTGGCGGCCAACTGAGAGCGCCATTTTGGAATTCCTGATCGGCGAATCGGGTAGGACTCATTTAAAACTTTGTCTCCCACTTTTCTCCCAGAGCTGTACATTTCCTCATTTCCCTTTCCGTTGTAAATAAACCTTTTATTAACCTTTCACGTGTGCCTGCAGTAGAGCATTGATAAGTCCTTTTAAGCGCGCGGGTGAGGACCCACAGTCAGGCACCCCGTTTTGTATCGGGGTTGCTCTACAACAGTTTGGCGCCCAGCGTGGTTTCCAAGTTACACCCGCGGTTGACCAGCCCAAAGTAACATCCCTTGCGTTGGTCACCATAAGCGCACTAGTTCCGCAGGACTAGCAGTATAATATTTGTCTCTAGTCCTGAAAAGTCTGTTTTTTTCCCTGTGCGTACAGCCCTTGTGGGTGTGTTTTGACTCAAATATGGCCTCAACCATGAGCCTATACAGTTTCATCCCTAGCCTGAGTTCTTTCAGTTTCCTTCCGGCCTTGAATTTGAGCAGCCTTCTTCCATTAAATATCACCACCAGTTTCATTAATATAAATAATTTGATGAAGCCTGGTGTATGGCATGTGATTTTACTATTGTATACATACATGGGTGGTTTACAAGCCATCCCTTTACAGACTGTGCTTCTGGGTGGTTTTTTGGTAATATGTGTAAGCGCAGTTTGCTACATTCTTGTTTCTGTGAGAGGTAGAAGTTCTACTTCACATACTGAGAATGTGCAACAACAAATTCAGGCTTTTAACGTGGCCATACAACAACTAAATCAGGTTTTTGATTTAACTATTAAGAGTATAAGGGATGAAAATCGTAATGTTTTTGAGTCAGCTTATCAAAGCATGCTGTATCAAGTGCAACAACAAAATCAGACTTTTGAGTCAGCTTTTAAAGGTATGCAGGACCAGATGCAGGCCGCCCTCCATAAATTAGATATGGCGGAGGCGAAGGCTAGGCTAATGGTGCAGAGAAAGGATAGACCTTCCCCTTTCCATGAGGACAGCCAGCGAGCAGAGTTAGAAGAGGAGGAGCATCATAGGGATTCGTTTTCTTTCAGACTGGAACCCTGGAAAATTTTCATCTGAGACTGTATCCCAGAATCCATATGTTTGATCTTCATCACCATGGAAATGGTGGCAAAAAGTGAAAGGGGGGAATTGTTAGGGGGAAAGGATGTCCTGAGATAATCTCATACAGGCTTTGTGGACCCCACCCCCACTCCAGACTAAAGCCATCAGGACATTGGGAAAGACAAATCCCATCACCACCAAGGGGAGGGTGGCTGGGACCTGAGGGTGGAGTTGGGCAGCCAGGTTGGATATAAAAACCAAACACGTGGGCCTTGCTCCCTCTCTGGCTCGCGATCGCTCGCCTCCTGGCTTCACCGCTCCTGGCTGGCGGCCAACTGAGAGCGCCATTTTGGAATTCCTGATCGGCGAATCGGGTAGGACTCATTTAAAACTTTGTCTCCCACTTTTCTCCCAGAGCTGTACATTTCCTCATTTCCCTTTCCGTTGTAAATAAACCTTTTATTAACCTTTCACGTGTGCCTGCAGTAGAGCATTGATAAGTCCTTTTAAGCGCGCGGGTGAGGACCCACAGTCAGGCACCCCGTTTTGTATCGGGGTTGCTCTACAACACTTCCAGGCCGGTCTCTGGCTGTGCAACTAGGTGATGTGTCCTTCACCGAGACAGAGAGTTCTGGAGGAGGACAAGAATTAGAAAAGGAAAGATCACGAGTTTGTTCATGTACACATACTGAGCTGGAGAAGGCTTGGTGACTTCTAAATGGGGATGTTCAGAATAGCTAGGGTTCAGAGCAGATACCTGGATGATGTGAATGCATGGGCCACCTATTTTTAAGTAGTAATTGAAGCCACTAGATGGAGAGAAATGATGGACCTGGAAGAACTCTGGAGTTCAGCAGCTGGTTATAGGCAGATAAAGAGATGCTTACAAAAGAGACAGCAAGGATTGATCAGAAAAGAAGGGAGTAACAACACTAAAAATGGAAATACTACATATCCAGCAATACCATACCCAGTTATTTATCTAAAGGACATGAAAACACCAATTCAAAATAATATATACACCCCTACGCTCACAGCAGCATTATTCACAATAATCAAGTCATGGAGCCAGCTAAATGCCCATGGACAGGTGACTGCATAAAGAAGTTCTGGTGCAGACACTCCACAGAATACTACTCAGGTGTAACAAAAGATGAAATCTGGACTTTTGCAGCATCATGATGGAACTTGAGGCGACAATGCTAAAACAAACAAATCAGAGAGTGAAAGACATTTACTGGATGGTTTCACCAGCAAACAAGCAAACGAGCTGGCCAAACACAACAAAAGTGACTCTCAAACTGTGAAAACTTTGGTAGTGAACAGAGGGGGAGAGGGAACAGGTGATAGTGCAATGCCTGGAACTTGGGTGGTGAGTGATGTGAAGTCTCCATTTATTAAAAAAAAAAAAAAGGTGAATCAACAAAATTCAGTTAAAAAAATATTCAGAGTCAGCATTTAGAAACTTCCACAGCAATTTCACTGAGTTGGGTTAAGTCTGTTGAAACCAACTTTTGAAAAAGGGACTTCTAAAAAGAGAGGGAAATAAGCCAGAAGCGGCTCCCATCATGGAAGCTATGGAAAGAAGCGGCCCAATGAAGCCTGAAGACATCCCTCGTGCTTCTCAGTGGAGATCAGTGGGGCTTTGCAGGTGAGGGAGACGGAGAACAGATTTCAAGTATAGAAAGGCAAATTCAGTTGGGCTCAGCCGTGGATGGGACACAGCCTGGCTGTGAGATTGGGTCCCTCACCACCAACAGTGTCCACCCCAGCCACCTGCACCCCTTCAGCCCTTTATCTTGTCTAGATCCTTCTTCAGCTCGCACCACAGGGCCTTTGCACTGGCCATTTCCTTTAACCCCATTAGATTATGAGTCCTCACAGCTCCATACTTCCTGGCACTTTTCAAAGTTAACATTTACACTTGCACCCCCCACACACCCCCAAAAATCACGGGTTCCTTATGCTCAACATTGAGCTCTAAGCACCAAGCAGGGTGTCTGATCATTGGTAGGGGCTCAATAACTATTTGAATAAATGAATGGCTGAGAAGGATCTGGTCTTTGAGTCACTGGAGGAAAAGCTGCCCAGGCAGAGGGCAGAGTTGGCAGGAAAGACCCAACGAAGAAAAGCCGTGGTGTGTTCCTGGGACGGAAAAAAAAGAGAACAGTGTGGTTAGAGCAAGTGGGGGAGGCTGTGTGATGAGAAGTGGGGGAGGCAGGGCTAGGCTCAGAGTGCAGACACCCCCAGGACGCTCACCTGCTCCGAGGCCCCAAAGGACAGCACCTCACTCAGGTTTGCACAGTCTGTTTCCTGGTGTAGGCGGCCCTTCCTGTTGTTTTCTCAGAGGGGATTAGAAAAGGCCCAGGTGTGTAAACAGAAAAAGGGAGTCTTTGGAAATGTTTATCACCGGTACTGGAAGTGGAAATATAAGAGAACTTTCTATATTCCTTTAGTTCCAGAAATGTTGCAGGGACCAAGTCTTGCCACCTCGATCTGGAGCTCCGTCCAGTTCAGCAAAAACAGCCCATAACTCATTGAGAAGGAGCCATGGGGCCTATGCAAATAATAAGGAGAAAATATCCAAGGGGCCGCGTGTGGTCAAGGGAGAGGAAGTTGGAAGCTTGTCCTCCTACCCCAGCGGAAGTGGAAAAAGAAAGGGGATGAAGAGGAGGAGGTCGTTCATGGGGTCCTCACCCCTGCCCCCCCCCACCTGCTGTACCCGCTGAGCCTGGGGGAGGGGAGATGAGGACGCATAGACAGGCAGTCGGAGGAGGCTGGAGGCTCTTTTGAGCACGGTCTGGGCAGAGGCAGGAGGAAAACCTGAAGTTTCTGAGATGCTCCCGCTTCTCACAGGGCTGCAGGGCTGCCTGAGGAAAGCACCATGGCTGAGTCTGAGGCCA